TGGGTCCGCCGCCTGAGCGGTCGTCCTTCCAGCTGTGGTTGTGCCCGTTGTTGCCGCGGCCTTATCCTCGTCCAGCTGAAGGATCGCCTGGTCCAGGCTTCGGTTAGCCAGCTCCAGGTCGGTGTCCCACTCTTTCTCCGTCCGCTTTCCGGATCGGACGTCTGCCACCAGCGACGACAGGAGTGCCCTCGCCGCCTCGTACTCCAAGTACTTTGCAGCAACGGCACAGGTGAGCGAGGTGTGGTCCGCCGCGTACTTGGCCACGAGCGTAGTGACTTCAGTAAGCTTCGCTGGGTTGAAGACACTATAAACCCTAGAAAGAAAAAGAAAACTTACCTTCTCAAGGGCCTTGTCATCTAGTCCTTCCAGCTCGGGCCGCAGGTCGTGGACCGGCACCGACACTCCCTCAGGGGTGTCCACCGTGTAGGGCTGCGCCGGTGCCTTCGAGCTGGCACTGGCCTCAGCTGCCCCAGTGGCGTCGCCTTCGTCGTGGGCCCCATCCTCGAGCTGCTCGTCCTGCTGCTCGTCCTGGGCGGCCTCCTGCTCGGCAGGCGGGTCAGTGCTTGATCCCGCGCCTTCTGCCTGAGCTGTCCCCGAAGGGATCGGCTCTTCCACCACGACGCCGTCGTCGCCTAAGCGGCGCTGGTCGTTCTTTCGCACCCACACCTTGGGCACGAACTCGAACCAGCGCTCCCTCGCGAAGTCCATCACCTTCTCTGCGGTGCTTTTAGCCTCCTTGGACTCCCAGTTGCACTCCGCGCAACCACCGCATAGATATCGCCAGTTGTAGCCGTCGCAAAGGTGAAGTAGACTCGCCTCCACTTCGTACGTCTCCTTTATGAGATCGTACATGATCTTTGCATTCGAGACAGACCTGTGTCTTCCCGATTTGCAAAACATAAAGATCACGCACTGCTCGTTCTCCTGGATGAGCTTGTGCACGGCCGGCACGACCTCCTTCATGAACGCCACCCACTTTCCGTTCGTCTTTGGGTCCAAAACCATGGCTTGCACGTTCTTGGGGTACGTACCTAAGTGGTCCCTGAGGGACTTGTCCTTGCCCGGGTCGTTCATGTGCCGGCAGTCCAGAAAAAGGATCTGCTCCGTGGCGTAGTCCCGGAAGGACTCAAAGTTCTGGCGCAGGCTTTCCAGAAGCGTGTCCTCGTGGGCCTCGTTGTTCAGCGAGAACTCGTGCGACTGCCCTTTTCGCATACCACGGATAAGTTCCGTGAGTCCACGGTAGGTGCCGCGCCCACGTTGGCAGGTCTCTAGCTTCTCCAAGCCCAACGTGACCACCAAAACGTTCTTCCGCTGTCCTTCTGTCTCCTTCACCATCTCGGACAGCATATACGCCGTGCTGTCCTTGTCCCCTGAAGGGATCAAGGTTTCTTTCTTGCGTGCCGTCCCGTCCCTCAAAGGGATCGAGAAAGTGTTCTTCTCCTTCTTAGATGTCCTCTTAGGGATCACCTCCGGATTCACTGCAAACTTTCTGTGCCTCTCTGTAACGTTCGCCCCAAACTGGCTCACGCACAGGAGGAGGAGGCCGGTCTTCGAGTGCCTCGCCAACTGCAGTGTCCCGGCGTAGCCCGAGATTCGGCACTCGCCGCGCCTCAGGTCCTTGATCAGGCCAAGCTGAACCTGATCCTGCAAGGACAGGAGGCAGAGCACGTCCGGAGAGTCCAGCTCCACGCTGGAGAGCTCTCCCTGCAGACGGGTGCTCCGGCGAAGGCCTCCGCTCTCCGGCATAATGCGGAGGGCGAACGGCATTGCGAACTTGCCCGTCGCTCGAGCCGCTCCAATGCCCTTGAAGCTCGTGCCGCTCGAGCGCACGCTGGTGAACTGCAACCCAAACTTTGCCAGGACCTTTGAGGAGTGAGCCCTCCATTTTGTCCCGTGGCATGTCTGGTTGCAGCCCTCGTCCAGCATCACCCAGACGTTTTCGTGGTCCTCTAAGGGATCCACGAGCTGGAGTTGCGGCTCAGCAATCTCCTCGTCCAGGGGTGCAGGCTCACTGTCTGAGCTCTGCACGCTCTTCGGGCTGATGTCTCCTTCGAGATCATCTCGCTGAAGCTGCCCCACCAAGGCTGTGAGGGTCAGCTTGGTGTCCCCTTCGGGATCACCACTCTTCTCCGCCGTCGCCACGCCGGCGAACTTTTCGCGGCTTCCCCAGCCCTTTTCGCTGGGAGGAGACGCCGCCATGGCGTCCCTAGCAGCTGCTTCTCTCTCTCTCGGGCCAGCTGCTGCTGCGGCGGCGGGCGAAGCTTGCTCACGAGGCTGTGCACTCCTACGCTCTCTACGTACGGGGGAAAACGCAGGCAAAGGTGGGGGCTCTACGTCCTGACTAGACCTAGCTACATCAGCGGCCCTACCATGTTGCATGCGTAACTTCGTCTGCTCTACAACCTGGTCCATAGCATCCTCAAGGCAACTAGACAACTCGGTTGAACTGACTTGGTCAACTTTCAACAAAAACTTGTCCATGTGCTTGAAGAACTTCTTTACCACCTCACCTGCCTCAAACTTCGTAAAGTTGTACTCCTCCAGCTGTCTCCTCGTGAGGTTCTGCACCTTGAGTGGAGACTGCTGCACCTGCTCGGCGAGTCCCTTCTGCTCCTTAAAGAGCTTCTGCGGGATTTCCTCTACTACAGTGCAACAATCAAGACAAAAGGTGCGGTGTACCGATCTCGTGCTGTTCCTGTTGTCCGTGCGCTTGTGCTCGCACGTGAGTGGGTCCTTCTTCGGTACAGCCTTTGGTCTCGGGTTTGAGGTCCTGTTACCGCACAACATGCAAGTGGTCTTGATTACGTGCGCATTGCTCCCTGCTTTGTTCAATGCATGTGCGGGACATCCTCCAGCGCACGGTCCTTTAGGATCCGGCTTCAACAACCCGAGCTTGCTCTTAGGTGCCTTCTCAAGGGTCACCTCCTTCCTAGCCTTCTGCAGCGAGTCGGCCTCCACCGGCAACGTGGCTACCCTAAGTGTCGCCCTTCCACCGCCAACCGGTGGAACCTCAAAGTTGCGATACACCCAGACCAGCCATGCTTCTAGCATGGTGCTCGGCTCTTTCTCCTTGAGGCCCCAATGGTAGTAATCGGGGTGGTTCTGCAAAACCTCAAGGTAGGTGCTACCCCTATGCATCCCGAACCGAAACACCTGGTCGCTGCCGTCAGGGTACTCTATGGTATCCCATTCCGTGGAGGGAGCACCTTGCGACGCAAAGTCGTCCAAGAGCTCTTCGTCGGACTCTTCAAAGTCAGTCTTGTCGAAGAAACCCATGTACGCTGCAGGCTCCGTCTCAGAGTCTTGACCCAAGCTAACGTAGTTCGCTGTTGGCTCCGGGTCAAAGCTTTGACTCTCGCTGTCGCTCTCGCTGGGGCTAGCGATGAAGTCACAGGTCTGTGTGGATTTATCCATCACACGCTTGACCTGGGCAAGGTGTGCCACTGCGGGCTTTCCTGCACCTTTCCCTGGGCCTGGGCATTCCTTGTCACCAGCCCAGTGGCCCTTTCTGCCACACGTTTTGCACGTGCTCCTGAGTTTAATCTCATGAAGCTTCCGTCTCCTGTCTTCAACAGTGAGACCGGTAGATCGCGGCCGATATCCATGTGCACTTCTCTGCATCACAGACTTTCCTTTACCCTTAGCCTTGGCCCGCGCCATAAAGGCAACGGTCTCGCACTGCACGGTGTCTGCGAGAAACGCCAAAGCCTCTTTGTCTTCCTCATCGAACCCAGCGCCTATAAAGGCGGTGAAGACATCAAGCTCGACGTCCCTTAGGGAAGCGTCGGCCGACTGGGCAACACATGCGGTGTCCTCTTCCTTGTCGTACACGGGGAGCTCTTCTCCGTGATACGCCCAGTCCTGCCCATCACCGTCTAGGCCGTCCTGGTCCTCTTGTCCTGCCAGGTAGGCTGTTCCGTCGTCGTCTTCCTCGGCGTCAGGGTACTCGAAAAGGTCTTCAACGGCCGAAAGGTACGTGTAAGCAGTCCCTTTCTGGGATCTCTTTCCGTATCCTTTACCTTTTCCTCGGTCTCCCTTCCTGTGGAAACCTTTCCCTTTGCCAGTTCCGCCTTTGGCGGATGGCTGCTTTCGTTCCAACGTATGGATACGATTATGCATGCGAATCAGCGATGCTTCAGCATCCTTCGTCGCTGTGCTGCCTGACATCGAGGTCAGCACCATGAGTCGCTCTTGCCGGGTGAGCCCGCTGTTGTCCAGCAACAGATCTGTCAGCACCGCTTCACTTATGTGAAGGGCCTTGTCTAATTGCTGAAGCTTGCGTAGCCACCGCTTGCGGCGGTCGATGTAGGAGATCATCGGCTCTCCCGGCTGTCGTGACAACATGCCGCCGACTTGGGTCCCTAACCGATAAAGCTCTTTCGTCTCTTGTTCCGCCAGGGGGAACAGGCGTTCTCTAACTGCCTCGATCACCTTGGGGATGTTTTGACTCGAGAACAAAACGTCGGTACCCAAATCCTCTGCGACAATGTATGCCTCGCTCCTTAAGGAGTCGAGGAACTTGGACGCAAGGTCGGATCTATCCTCAACCTTGGTCTGCTTCCATCTCGTCATAGCTCGGAACTCCCACTCGTGAAAGTCACGAACGGTTCCGGCGTAGACTAGGAAGCCAAACTTCGTCAGGTCTGTGTCCAGATCCTGGTGTGGTCGATATGCCAGCGATCCACTAGCCATGGCGACCACACGCCCGCGCAGGGGGCGTACTATTGGGCTACGAGCTCTGGTTCTCTTAACCGAGAGCTCCGCTACCAGTGCGAAGACTAGTCACTTTTCCGCTCAGCCGTAGGCTTGAACTCAAGGGGCCCCTGCGGTCAAGGGGTTGTCTCAAGCTGTACAAACTCTAGGTACACACACTGTACGCGCTGCAAAACAGGTTGATTTCACACATGGCATCTTTGCACTTAGCTGGCCAAGCTCGAGGTTTCATACGGTTTCGAAGCTCACAACTGTGCACAAGACGCCGTTGCCATTCCATGGCTTGTTCAGGAGCGCACACACACACACACACACAGAGCCCAAATCGCCGAAGGCTTGAAACACTGATTCTCAAAGGTGGCCACAATGCGGCCCTGACTCAAGACATAGCGAATACTCGGCCAGCGCCCAGCACCAGTCGCATCCAGAAAAGGCCCAAGCCGGCTGGGGACGACATCGCTCCCTCGCGAATTTCTGCTCCTGGGTACAGTCCCAGCTCAGGCCAGTAGTGTGCACGATTGGAAACACGAGTGGCCCTGATGCTGCTTACCACGGACGTAGGAGCAAGAGAGTTCCCCATTGTTCCGTATTGTCTCTCCCCGGCTTCCTGAATTCAAGAACCAAGGCTCCACCTGCCCGCCGCCTTCTTGGCACTGGCCACACCGTAAATCGAATTTGGGGACATTGGGCCTGTTGGGCCGGCACGGCTGACACTTGCCGACTGCGCAGCCTCGGCGCGAGGCGGGCGAAGCAAACTTCCGGTAGGCAGGGAGTGCCGGAGCTTTCACAGGCTTTCAATGAGTTCAAAGATGTCCTGAATGAAAAGGCTTGAGCAAACTGCAAAGGCTCGGGCCTCTCTCAGGACAGCCACCCACTCGTCCCGATCAGGAGCGTTGGCACAGCAGAAAACATAGGCCCTCGGATCTGTGTGCACCTCACAACGCTCGATAAGGTGACGTGCATCTGGCTTCGTGCTCAACTGCAGTTTACAGGCATTTCTATGCATCCCATGCCTCTCGGCTGCAGGAATGTTGAATTGCGGCACATGCCGTTGTCGGACTGCAGTCGAAGTTGGGCTGAAGGTGCAGTATCGCAACATATCTGCCGTTGCAGAGTGGTTTGCAGTTGCTAAGACATTCCCCACTTTCGGGAAAGGAATATTGGCAGAGCTTAGATCCCGAACGCAAGGATCGCACCTCAAACAAGTGGAAGCGGTCCAGGAACTTCTGCGACAGGGCCTCCACCCGCGTGATCTCCTGCGCAGAAATCTGAAAGCTCTGTCCGTGCTCGATTACATCGTACCAGTAGAAAACGATGCCCGTTGTTGTGCGCAACAGCGCCAGTACGGTCTTCCTGTGAGGCATCGTTCGAGTTTTGTGGTTGTCGTAGCAGCAAGACATGCAAAACCCCCGTGAGCTCCCCGGCATGGATCAGGACTCGCGGCTGGTCACAGTCGTAGGGGCTGAAGCACCGGATGAAGTTGTCGGAGCTCAAGCGAAGCCTCAGTCGATTGCCTAAGGCTGGAAAGCCGCAGGCGGTGACATCGCAAAAACCGTCGCTGTCACATGTCCGGACTAAGGAGTCATTCCTTACGGAGGTTTTGCAACTCCTTCTGATGTCTCACGACCTGAGTCAGGAAGGTTGGCAAACGGCAAATCATGACTGAAGTCCAAGCCGCAGCTCCTCACAGATTCGGCCTTCGAACTGGACAGCTCCAACCAAGGCCTCCCTCTTCGCCCCCTTCCTGGGATGCACATGTGCTGGGCTTAAGCACAGGTACGTCATGTGCCTAAAAGATCTAAAAGAGCATCAACTTCAGACACTGAGCGTTTCGGCTTCAGTCTACGTGTGACGAGACCAGCATGCAGGTCGGATCGTTTTGGGAAGGGCTGGTTTAGACGGCACGGGCGCCCAGGTGAAACTGAAGGCTCATCGACGGGCACCAAGATAGATGTTGATGTACACAAGTTCGATTAGGACTGCTGAAGCTTGCACGCAAAGGGACGCTCTATGAGATATGCACTCACACTATCCACACACACAGGTGGACCGATAGACAAACACACTGCCCCTTCACCAAGACCAAGGTGAGCGGCAACCCCTGTGCTGCCTGCGCGAAGGCGACGCCACACATTGTGCCATCCGGCTCGAAGAAGCCTGAGCCAACCATCAGACAGTCCCCGAGGCCGGTCATCTGGCGAAACGCTTGGGAGCGGGTGCGAGATTTGACATTGCACTATATCTTGGTGGCACATATCATGATCTTGCATGTTGCAAGGCTGTACAGGGGAACCAGCAGAGAGGGGGCAACAAGGGCAAGACTGGCCAACGGTACTTTCAGGGTGTTCGAAGTTCTTTCGCAACTTGTCACCCACAGCCACAGTTTGGAGGGGGCCCTTGAAGGCATTCTCGACTCGATAACGTACATAAAACCTTCACAGCTTCAAAACCACACAATGGCCTCAGAAAAGATGAGAGGCGAGGCGGCGGTTGCATCAAACGTGAAGGGCTTTGCGGACTGTCCGGCGATGCGTTGGCTGCCTGAAGCACGGCGCTGCGCATCTTGCTGTCCTGGATGTTGGGATTTTCTCGGAGAACTTGGTTGACGAGCCTGCCTACTTGTACCACTTTGGCTGCTCAGCTTTGGCCATGGCCTTCGAAGCCGGAAGCTTGGTGCCATGTAAATGTAGACTGTACGGCCCAACAGGCCCCAGATGGCTTCGTGTCTAGAGGAACTCCGGTATTGCGTTGGTGCCCGCAGTCCTCTGCAAGATGGCTGGTCACGATGAGGCGGAACTGCTCCAACGTCCTCACGTCGCCTGGGAGATGTTGTGAAAAAGGACGAATGCAGGGCAGGTCCAGGTCTTATTCCCTGCGCTAAAGACTTATGAATCTCCTCAAATCGATTCAAGTGCCTATGCACTCGGGGGCATCTTCGTTTGTATCTTCACCCAAGACATGATTCTAAACGCTACAAGCCACATGGCTGCAGCCGTCTCTCTGGGCCCGGGCGTCCCCCCAAGATCAGGTCGGAGTCCGAGTTGCAACAGTGGTACTTCCGTGGTGCCGCCCCTCGGAGGAACCTCGCAGAACAGGCTTCGGAGGGTATACGTGCCAGCCGCGTAGGGTGGCCCCCTTTGGACATCAAAAATTAATACAACGCGAAGAACATCTTGCACTTCCGAAGCCTGTACTACCTCTGAAGCTGCGCAGCTCACGTTCTTCAGATGCTACCAGAGCTCAGGCACCCTCCACAGTCTAGAACCGAACTCACTAAACCCCACAGCACCAAACAGAAACGAAGCCAAGGCGACCGTGGAAGCCGCCGCTTTGGACGGCAAAGGGCCGCGAGCTCTTCCTCGGATGGGGAATTGTAGCTCTTTCCACCATCACCATCGGGGCAGATGCTGTGGATTTCACTCAGCTAGCTGCAAGTGACTTATCACAGCGGCAAGCGAATACATGAGAAGTTGGCGGCAAAGAACAGCCGCGTGAATATGTCTGAATGACGGCTCGAACGAAGACTGGGGTGCGTTTCAGTAGCATCATGCAGCGCAAAAGTAACCGTTACAGCACGCGAAGACCCAACAAGGTGCCAAAGTTCAGCGTCACGTGCCTGCCAGTAGAAGTCGCCAGCAGCCTGACTCAAGCAAGACGTCCATCGGCGTCCAGCCAAACCCAAAAGCCCGAAACCCAAGCCTCGCATGAAGCTCAGGAACGAAAAAGACCTGTGGTGATGTCAGAACCCTGGAAAAGCTTTCACTTGCAAGCCCAGGCACGGACTCGGCCCGAAGGACGTACCAGCTGCGCACCTCTCGCTAGCGTCTGGGGAAGGCTATTTCTCTTGCTTGAATCGGTTGAAGGCTTCCCCCCCCGCAATCAACCTGATCTGATTGCATCATTAGGCCCATGCCCCGCGTGCCACAAAAGGGGCTCCAGTTCTGAAGCACACTCACGCTCTAGTCTACTGTGCTTGAATTTCCAAGATAAAGAGCTACGGCCTTTGAAGGGCTGTCTCGGCACCGTGACCTGGGCCTCGACTTAGCCCAACAGCGGAACAACGCGTGGACGTGGAGCTGTCAGTTGTCCGTTTCGTGAGCCCGGGCACCTCCTGCTTGCGAAAGCGGCCGATGGCCTGAGGCGCTCGTGTGCTTTGAACAATTGAATGTACGCTGAGAATCACTCGGCACAGCCTGCATGCGAGATGACGAAAGGATGGACCCCTGTGTCCTGTGTTAAACTATGCATAAAACATGGAGAAAAAGCCTACCATGATCACCTCGACCACATTGGACATGCTCAAGCCAAAGTGAGTGCATGGACGCCACCCGGGCCGGCAACCTAACAATTCAAGAAGCCTATTGTTGATGATGGTGATCATGCTCATGTAGACAGGTGCTTCCGGCGTACTGAAATGTGTCGGGATGCCGAAATCGAAACTGTAGTTTCGGATGCATAACGAAACAACACACAGTGGCTTGAATTGAATGAGCATTGGGGGGTGAAACTGACCAGAACTTCCTTTCACAGCAAACAAAACAATCCCAATATGTTCCACGATCAAGAAGATACCAAGTGGAACGATTTGAGAAAGCCCAGCCCCTGCTGTCAGAATCCCTGCCGAGACTGAGACCCTTCGACGGAACCGCAGGACCTGCTAGGCCACTAGGCGCACCTCGATGTAGAAAGGCACGCGGAAGTCGAGACCATTTAAGGAGTCGAAGCCCTGCCAAAGCGGAAGCTCCTGACGCGATGGTGGTCTTCATGATCCTGCACATGGGCCTACGTGTACCGGTCACGTGCTCCCACAGCTCTTCAGGGAGATTCTTGTCACTGAATCGATAATCAGGCTAAGCACTTCACGCCGTACCAAAACCCCTCGTCCCTACAGGCAACACACTGCAATGTAGAAGTTCACGTGGTGGCCTGCAGGGCCCTGGCGAAGAGGTTGCTCAACTCCAAGCTGTCTTCGCTGAGATCTTCGGCGAGCTCCTCATCACATCGGGTCACCGAGCCAGGGGTACTTCTGATGCCACTACCGAAATGCAGGTCCTACAAATGAAATTTACAGTAGAGGACGCATCTTTGGTGTGGGGCCACGCACTTCTAGCCATTGCAAGCAACCTTGGGCGACTGTCATCTGGCAAGCATTAGGATCCCTTTCGGGGTCCTTATTAAAAGGGTGCCGTACTATCTTTGGGACCTACAAGCGACACGAATTTAGAGAACCACCCATGTGAGAATGCTCGCTTCTCCGACAACGATCACCGGGATGTAACAGTGATGTATTTTACTGTTCGCTCGGTCGGGATGCCGGTCAGAGTCTGCAGTTCGGTCCCTGACTCCCGAGCCCCTTCTGGAGAGGGCTGCTTGGTCTCAGAAACACAACCTGATACCGCTGTTGACACAAGGGGGCAACGTCCTGAAGCGAATCCACGATGCTCATGCTGTCGTCATGAGGCAAACCAGGCTCCTGTGCAGCCAGGCAAAGCAAGCGACGAAGCTTACCAGGCTATGCCCACTTCTTGCGAACGTGTCGAAAGCAGGTGGGAATTCCAGAGCTCCTGGTCTGTGTTGCCCTATGCTACGTTTCCAACATGGGTCTCACCGATTCCGGATATCGCGCAGGTCCTTCTTGGAAGTGCCTGGCGGGGCGTCCAGCACCTTCAGTTGTCACAACATGGCTACGTGATGTACGCTGCATCTCGAAACTCAGAACTTGACAATTCTTAAACTGCCTCGCAAAAACAATCCGAGGCACCGTAGGCGGGTGCAACGTGGTAGGATTGTAGAATTCGTCTCCTTCAGCTCCACGCTCGAATGTTGCTTCAAGGAGCAGACTCTTCTCCTTAAAGCTGCGATTTCAATGCATAACGCCTTGCAGTGCATGCCCCTTCTTCAGATCTGGCTGCAGCTCTGGCACGTAGTCGGGGTGGTGCGCGCTGCAATTCCCCAAGTCGTACATGAATAACCTCCGCGACAGATGGTGTGGCGCAGCTTGCCGCAAAAAGGCCGAACACAAAATCCCGACACTACGTTCCGGCCATGCCTCGTTTGCAAAGGATGCAACATGATGCAACTATGCTCACTCTAAGGAGGATGCTGATGTCCTACCTTGGTTCTGAGTCGCATGCTGCTAGTGAGCGCCAGGCTTTGGGACCCAGCTGCATCACTCCTATGTGGAAAGCGTCTCTGAACGGGCACCTTGTCGTCGAGAGATCCCCCAGGACATTCTCCAGTGGAAGTGGGCTGATCGCCGGCACCTGTCAAAGGGTAACACGGTGGCACTTTGTGTGCACCTCATAGGCATGGATAATTACTCCATGGTATCTTCACAAACTCTGTAGCTGGTCAAAAGCCGACCAGCGCATTCAGCCCGGATAAGGAAACTGAACTCTCAGGTGCTGGGTGAAGTTTTTAGTTCTCAACTCGAGGGGTGATGCAAAGTAACGGCAAAGGGGGACTCGGTGCCTTTGGTGGCTGTTGTTCAGACACGAAGAACAGCTCTCCCAGTCCCAGAACCCTGAGTTGTCCGGGCAAAGCCTTCAGCAGCTCCCACGTACAAAGGTCGAGGTATGGAATCCTTCAGTAGGGCCAGGAGCTGAAATCTAGAGCAAGCACTTGATCTGCAAACCTACTTGCTACAGATGGATCCTTGCTCACAGTTTGAATGAGCACAGTATGTCTCCGGCTTTGCACCGAGACATGAGCCACGGACAGCTCCGAACACCCGTAGGTACTTCGATGCACTTCGTAAGCAACGTTGCAAGACGAAGGCGGGTGAAACTAGAGCCCAAAGTGCAGCTACGTTTGCAACGGTCGGAACCGACAGGCTACTGACCAAGCATCTTCCAGTACAACGTGTACGTCTTGCTGGTGTCCACCTGATTGGAAGCGCACGAGTTCATGTCCGGGGTGCTATGGTTCGGCTATGGCCTGCTGGCTGCAGAACCGATGCTGCCCTGAAACACCATCGACCAGCTCTCGAAACGAGGCCATGGGCCAGCTTCCGAAAGTCAACATGAAAGACGATGCAATTACGGCGGCCAACAAAGTCAGAGTCTGCGTCCCTGGAGGGTAGAGACCAGTTGGCACATGCGAACATGCGAATCACAGCTTGGGAACACAACAAGAACGGAGCCTCGAGGAGTCCAGGACCACCATATGGGATGGCGTCCAGCTCCTAAGGGCAACTCCAAATTACAGAACTCTCCTTCGAACTCTGGGGTTGGCCCAAACTCCGACTCTGTCCAGCGTTAACATTAGAGCAGATCGGCACACCGAAACGACTACAGGGGGGGGTACTTCTGGTGCTTGAAACAATTGCGATCCCGACACTCCGACCATATACACCTCGAACCTTGTCGATGCCGGGGCCGCAGCTTCCAGGTTGAAAGATCGGCTACCGAAAGCACATTCGAAGACTGAGACTGGCCGAGTTTCCGGGCTGCCCAGTTTGGGCGCGTCTTCTCCCTCTGAAGTGGCCAGGACTCGGAACAAGGCCCGCAGGTGAAATCCCATCCTTGCGTTGCTTCGTCTTGACGAGAATACACGTGTAAAGTCTGTGAATGTACGGGACACATCGCAAACAGCCGAAGACCAAAATCATCTGCCGACACCTGCGACATCCTGCGACCAAGCATCTGGCAGGGGGCCTGATCGTTGCCAAGGTCGATGTAGAAGCGGCCTGTGGAATCGCGCGCCACATGTGCTCGACTCATCGGCCCTCGAAGCCTGCAGGCCTCCGGTTTTCTTGTTCGCGAACTTGGAGCCCAAAGACACGACGTTTCGCATGACCCAGCCGAGATTCCTGGGCTGAGGGATGGCACTCTGTCTCGATCTCCAAACACGTCCTACAATCTCGCAAGATGAGCTCCAATCGCTGCCACCGGACACTCGCACAGTGCTTCGCGAAGAGCATAGAGATAGAAGGGCAGAGAGAGAGAGAGAGAGAGAGTGAGAGTGAGAGTGAGAGTGAGAGTGAGAGTGAGAGTGAGAGTGAGCGCGTGTCAAGCCTGCAGACAGCTCGGGTGGGAGACGATTCGGAGAAGACTCCGCAGATCCTTGCAAAAGCCCCAAATGCCCAATACGTTATCGCGAAGCAACTTGTGTAGCTCCGCCTGTGGCTTTGATTAAGTCTGCGGATTTCTGTCTTCGAGAGCAATGCCAAGTTGGGCCACGGGTCAGAGCAGCTCCGAGGGTTCCTCCCAGCCATATGTTGGTGGAGTTCTCCTCGCCTTGCAAATCTGAGATGTACTCGCACTGAGCTGCTGCTCGCAGCAATGCGACAAGCCTTCTGTGCGTGCGTGCGTGGGTGTCCGTGCGTGTGTGTGCGAGGGTGCATGCATGTCACCGTCCGTGTGCGCGTGCGTGTGCGTGCGGGTGTACCAGTGCACGTGTGCATGCGCATGCGTGTGTCAAGCGGTTTTCGTTTTTGCGAATGAGCAGGGAGACCATCCGTTTGCTGTGTGTGATGGTCCAGTGAAGCGGCTGCAGCAAACGCAGACATCAGGACTTATCACCTTGACGTTCCTGCCAAGATGGTTTCTACATCTACGAAACATCCTCGCCGTGCATTGAATGCATTGATTGTCTTCGCTTATTTCTGTACAGTAACTTCTACAGAACTTGTCATGTGAGGGAGACCGTCAGACAACTGAACTGATTACATCTTGAGTCTACACAATTGACGTGAGACCTCGCGACACATTGTGTCAAGTGAGTCTGTGCCTGTCCGTCCGTTCGTCCGTCTGTACGCTTATGTACAACATCACGTGCTGATGTACAAAGACATCGAAGAACGAACATATGCAAACTGGAAACGATTACTTAATCCCAAACAAGCTGCACGGCATGCTCTACTGAACGTATATACTGAGTTCTACTGATACGCAGATGGCCAAACCCCATGTGCTTGCACACATTGAAGCTTTCTTGCAGGTAGACAACCGATGCAACACAACCCCTGAGACCACGAATCTCGCTTTTGCTGGTTGAAGCATGTTGATACATTGGAGCAGTTCTACGCTCCGGGCCTAACGTTGCAGCCTGTGCAAACTTGCCCTGCATCTGGACGATCAATCCTGCGCACTTGTTGCTGTTGCATAGGCACTCAGTTCGACATGTCGATTTGCAAAAAACTTGTCGCCTGCAGTTGGCTTGCGAAAGGGACACAGAAGGGGGCCGGGCAGTAGAGTTTTGTCCTAGACCGGCTGCCACTACCATCCTGGCCCTTCCCAGCAAACTGACTAGATCCCTGCAGGCAGCCCAGACTTTGCCGGACCCCGCTGAATCTCGAACCAAGAAGTCTTCTTCACACCCCCAGCCCAAGCCGTGGAGTTCGAAAACAGAGAGAGTGCCGTTTCTCGCAGCCGAGAACGTACCGCCACGCCTCGTTTCTGGGAAGGCTCCACTCTCGCAGACCCAGTCTCGCTCCCGGTGTCGTGGATGATGTGACAGAGGCCTTTGAGTTCAGTGTTTGCAACGGTTGTTGACGAAGCACAGCCCTGCTGAGAGAGAACGCTGCAAAATGACATCAGTCGAGGTTCCACGCACTAGTAGTCCGCAATCCGTTCAAGCACTCCGGGTGATTACTGCGCACTTCACACGACCCTGGTTATAGCGCTGCCCTGGATCACCTGCAAACTCCTTGCAATTTTTGCATCGTCTGCCTTTTTGCAGAACATGTGGTCACCCATGCGCTCTTCCAGTCGAAAGAGACCCTAAGCCCGAGATCGAGCTTTCAACTTTCTAGGGACCATTATCGCCAGCAGCAAGTTGCTTGCAAAGGGCGGTTGAAGCATCGGGCGTGAATCTTGCAGCTGGGCTGAGAAACAAAAAGTGCGGACTAGATGGCCCGACTGCAGTGATGGATTTAGGGGCACGCTCAAAGACGGGTGCTTCCTTGATTAAGAACAAGGCATGCAGGAAGCAAAAAACAATCAGCGGGGAGTCTTTTTCAAAGCAAAAACCTACCTAGGGCGGTAGAGAGTGATGAGCGATATTGGCCAAAGTCATGCTCCACAAATCAAAGACACAAATGGAACGGCCTGTAAATCCCGGAGCGTCGATTCGCGTAGGCTCGCCATTGACAGCAACTGGAATCTTCTCTCCGGTCTTCCTTGGTCGAGGGCTTGGAGCATGTTTCTGACGGAACCATATCATGACATCGTTGAAGATCGCATCAGCTAGGAACACATGCACAGGAAAATTCGGTTATACTACTCAGGCGCACAGCATTCATCCGAAATGCTTCTTGCAAGGGAAGCTGCGACTTGACTGTGAAGTAAAAAGGACGGCTTCGCGACGGCATCCAATAAAACCCCTTTCGGGCAAGGACGCCGGCCCAATAATTAATTAAATGTCCCCTCGACCTGCGAAGCTTAGCTGCTAATTCAAAAAATTCGTTCGTGTAGTTCGGAACTGCATGTACCCATCTGTTTGACGTCCGATGCAGTAAAGAGTTACAAACAGCACGCAGCAGGAAACGCGGCTACTTCCGATGACAGCCCAATTATAACACAGAACTCCAGGTCGAGGACACGCAGCAATGCACAGCGAATGAATTGTCCCTTGAACCAAGAACGGGCACGGTTGCGCAGCCCAAGCGTTACACACGTCTCCGACGTTCAGGAATCATCGTCGATGTCTCATGTTTGCGCGCGACACTGCCACATACTGCAAGCCACACCACTGCCAGCGTACCACCGGTGCACTCACCATCATAAGCTAACTACAGAAATCACATCAGAGACCACCACCACCACCACCATCACCATTGGTGATCGTGGTCATCATCTGCCTGTCTTTCCGGGTCTGTAAGAGGTTCTGAGTCGACTGTTGAGTTTCGAGCGGTCAGGTGGGGTACGCGATGCTTTGGTAGTATCTGGAGTCTTGGAGTTCAGGGGACCTGAAACTTCGCATGCGCCATGCGCAAGGACACGACCTCGCATACACAACACAACCACAAACTACTGACCATCTTGTGAACGCTTCTTCCATTCAGAGTTAACGCTGCAACATGATCCCCAGTGGCCCAACCCTCTGTGCCATCCTCCTCCAGCTCTTCTATGCATTGCTGCGCTCTGGCGATCTGCACGGAGCAGAGGGAATGCAGCTTCTCAAGTCTTGGCTTGAGTTGCCTTGCCAAGATATCATGCTGGCTCAGTAAACGTACTAGACATCGAACAGGGCCGAAGACCAACGGGTCCACTCCAATGGGCCTCCCCTCCTCGTCTGCAAGGCTGGCAGCCGTACAGCGAGTGCGCTGCACCAGCAAAGTGTGCTGGACTGGATGACTGCTCTCAAGGGCTCCCCAGTGGGCACGTTAGCGCATTGCCCCACTGTCATTTGCCCGGAAGCATGGGGCATGTTGGCCGGAAGGATCCCCAGCTTGCATCTAGCCCCACACCCGGCCAGCGGTGTGCAGACTGCCCGCCGATGGATGCTTCCGGCAGATCTGCGGGTAGGGCTACACAGAGCAACAACCGGAGTTGCTGCAAACGAGTACGACACTAGGTCCCTAGGAACAAGACTGCCCTGGTCCCACTACATGGGCATCAGTAGAAGTAAGGACATCACGACTCGAACACCGACAAGCCACGAAATTTTCCAGCCACTTGAGACTTGCAATGAACCCTCACGCGTTGGAGCCGTCGTTTCCAGCAGCGGGTTTCGCGCCGGTCGCTGTTCTTCTTCGTCAGTCAGGCGTCCCTGATTTGATGGTGGACTCACGGAATCTGCCTTGGGTGCCTCGGGGCTGTCCATGAACGGGACTACGCAAGCCTCTTTTCTAGCACTCGTCAGGCGAGGTTCGAGGAGACAGCAGCAAACTCATATTAGGACAAGATGCATTAATCTTGTCTGTGTACATTAACACAGCGACTCCAAAGTGTTCTGACTCAACACATGCCGGGCTCACATCTTAGTCTCTGCGTACGGCACCAAAGGCAATCCGGAAGATATCACTCCGGCAAGCCAGCTTCACATCAGCAGTCTCGCATGGGCTCACACATGATGCAAAGCCTCTACAATCGCTGTGCAAATGCTTCCCCTCAAGGGCACGGTGTTCGAATGGGCCTCCCCTCCTCGTCTGCAAGGCTGGCAGCCGTACAGCGAGTGCGCTGCACCAGCAAAGTGTGCTGGACTGGATGACTGCTCTCAAGGGCTCCCCAGTGGGCACGTTAGCGCATTGCCCCACTGTCATTTGCCCGGAAGCATGGGGCATGTTGGCCGGAAGGATCCCCAGCTTGCATCTAGCCCCACACCCGGCCAGCGGTGTGCAGACTGCCCGCCGATGGATGCTTCCGGCAGATCTGCGGGTAGGGCTACACAGAGCAACAACCGGAGTTGCTGCAAACGAGTACGACACTAGGTCCCTAGGAACAAGACTGCCCTGGTCCCACTACATGGGCATCAGTAGAAGAAAGGACATCACGACTCGAACACCGACAAGCCACGAAATTTTCCAGCCACTTGAGACTTGCAATGAACCCTCACGCGTTGGAGCCGCCGTTTCCAGCAGCGGGTTTCGCGCCGGTCGCTGTTCTTCTTCGTCAGTCAGGCGTCCCTGATTTGATGGTGGACTCACGGAATCTGCCTTGGGTGCCTCGGGGCTGTCCATGAACGGGACTACGCAAGCCTCTTTTTTAGCACTCGTCAGGCGATGTTCGAGGAGACAGCAGCAAACTCATATTAGGACAAGATGCATTAATCTTGTCTGTGTACATTGACACAGCGACTCCAAAGTGTTCTGACTCAACACATGCCGGGCTCACATCTTAGTCTCTGCGTACGGCACCAAAGGCAATCCGGAAGATATCACTCCGGCAAGCCAGCTTCACATCAGCAGTCTCGCATGGGCTCACACATGATGCAAAGCCTCTACAATCGCTGTGCAAATGCTTCCCCTCAAGGGCACGGTGTTCGAATGGGCCTCCCCTCCTCGTCTGCAAGGCTGGCAGCCGTACAGCGAGTGCGCTGCACCAGCAAAGTGTGCTGGACTGGATGACTGCTCTCAAGGGCTCCCCAGTGGGCACGTTAGCGCATTGCCCCACTGTCATTTGCCCGGAAGCATGGGGCATGTTGGCCGGAAGGGTCCCCAGCTTGCATCTAGCCCCACACCCGGCCAGCGGTGTGCAGACTGCCCGCCGATGGATGCTTCCGGCAGATCTGCGGGTAGGGCTACACAGAGCAACAACCGGAGTTGCTGCAAACGAGTACGACACTAGGTCCCTAGGAACAAGACTGCCCTGGTCCCACTACATGGGCATCAGTAGAAGTAAGGACATCACGACTCGAACACCGACAAGCCACGAAATTTTCCAGCCACTTGAGACTTGCAATGAACCCTCACGCGTTGGAGCCGTCGTTTCCAGCAGCGGGTTTCGCGCCGGTCGCTGTTCTTCTTCGTCAGTCAGGCGTCCCTGATTTGATGGTGGACTCACGGAATCTGCCTTGGGTGCCTCGGGGCTGTCCATGAACGGGACTACGCAAGCCTCTTTTTTAGCACTCGTCAGGCGAGGTTCGAGGAGACAGCAGCAAACTCATATTAGGACAAGATGCATTAATCTTGTCTGTGTACATTAACACAGCGACTCCAAAGTGTTCTGACTCAACACATGCCGGGCTCACATCTTAGTCTCTGCGTACGGCACCAAAGGCAATCCGGAAGATATCACTCCGGCAAGCCAGCTTCACATCAGCAGTCTCGCATGGGCTCACACATGATGCAAAGCCTCTACAATCGCTGTGCAAATGCTTCCCCTCAAGGGCACGGTGTTCGAATGGGCCTCCCCTCCTCGTCTGCAAGGCTGGCAGCCGTACAGCGAGTGCGCTGCACCAGCAAAGTGTGCTGGACTGGATGACTGCTCTCAAGGGCTCCCCAGTGGGCACGTTAGCGCATTGCCCCACTGTCATTTGCCCGGAAGCTCGGGGCATGTTGGCCGGAAGGATCCCCAGCTTGCATTCCCACACGCCTGCCGACGGATGCTTCCGGCAGATCTGCGGGTAGGGCGGCACAGAGCAACAACCGGAGTTGCTGCAAACGACAACAGAAGTGCCCAACGACACCAGTCACAAGACTGGGTTGGTCTCGCTACATGGGCAGCACCTGAGACCCTGAGATACTCAATATGCACATCGTACTTTTCCAGCCGCTTGAGAGAACCCTGCCGCATTGGACCCGTCGTGGCCATCAGCAGAATTTGCTCTGCCTGAATGCAGCAGATGTTGGACTCACGGAACCTGCCTTGGGTGTCTACGGGCTGTGTGCAGTGCTCTATATCCGCTGTTCACGGAGTACGCTCGAATGGGCCTCCCCTCCTCGTCTGCAATGCTGGCAGCCTCATACAGCGAGTGCGCTGCACCAGCAAAGTGTGCTGGACTGGATGACTGCTCTCAAGGGCTCCCCAGTGGGCACGTTAGCGCATTGCCCCACTGTCATTTGCCCGGAAGCATGGGGCATGTTGGCCAGAAGGATCCCCAACTTGCAAATCGCCCCACACCCGGCCAGCGGTGTGCAGACTGCCCGCCGATGGATGCTTCAGGCAGATCTGCGGGTAGGGCGACACAGAGCAACAACCGGAGTTGCTACAAACGAGTACGACACTAGGTCCCTGCGACACAAAGCAACAACACAGCTTGCTGCAACCCTTCTCCACCGGCATCGCACTCGCGAGATGGGCCTGGCCAATGCGAACAGTGTGAAGCCTCAGCGCAGCCCCAGAGTATCCCACAGTCTCCAGGTTACAGAACAACTTCCTCGAGAGCAGTGAAATTACTTAGGGACATCCTGAGTCCCGCGCAGTGCACTGGCGAGCAGCTCCCAAAGCCTTGATCCAACAACAACAACAACAACGGCAACAGCAACAGCAACAGCAACAGCCACAGCCACAGCCACAGCCACAGCCACAGCAACAGCAACAGCAACAGCCACAGCAACAGCAACAGCCACAGCAACAACACCACCAACACCACCAACAACACCAACAACACCAACACCAACACCACCACGACCAGCAACAGTAAAAGCGGCAGCATCAGCAACACGAGCAACAACAACCGCAGCACTACGATTGCTGCAATTGCTACGACTGCTGCTATCGCTGCTGCTGCTGCTGCTGCTGCTGCTGCTGCTGCTCCTGCGCCTGCTCCTCCTGTTCCTGCTTCTGCTCCTGCACCTTGCTGCTGTCGCTGAGGCAGTGCTAGTGTTCCTGCCACTGCTGCTTCTGTTCGGCTGCGAGGGCGGCAACTGCTAATACAGCATTGCCGGTCTTTCAAGTTGCGCACCTCGAAAGCTCTCGCTCTCCAGCC